GAATATTGTGCATACGATATCCTTACCATATCGTGACTTATGATATGCCAACAGTAGCTCATTGCCAATAAATGGTTTAATTTCATTTTGAAACCCAACAGACAATTGAATTAAAGAAGAAAATATCAAGTATCAAAGGAAAATATTTCCAATAAATGCTGAAATTGATGGATGCAAGATATGGAAGGGTGTAAAGCATGTTAAAGGGACCCTCCCACCTTGAAAAAAGGTTATGAATTGGCATGAAAGTGATGTCGCTCGGTTCAGAAAGAGCGAAAACGAATATCTACCAAATTTCACCGAAAAATATTCACCGGTTTTCAAGATATTAGACTTTTACTTTTGTTTACTTTTTGGGATCTCCGCTGTTCCTAGCGACTTTATTTGGAAGCAAGTTTGGCAGCTGAAAGTGCGGCACTTGTTGCGCGCAAAGCAGCATATACCACCGCGTGCTACAAAACGTTTTAGTCAAACATTTAAAAATCGTTATATATCTGCGTTGACGTCATACATTCAGAGGGGTATTCCAATGCATTAGCCCCTCTGAATCAAAATGCTGCAATTTTGAAATTCAATATTTCCGATTTAGGGCATTTCTCGATGTTGTGAGTGCCGAAACCGGTAATTGTGAGCCAGGGACCCCATTTTGGCTATCTCAACTCAAATCTAATGTTAAGGTGGGAGGGTCCCTTTAATATGCATGGACCTGGGAAAATGAAAACAACAGTTAGGTATCAAAGGACAATACACTGAAAGGAACAACAGTTGTGATATTTAAAAAAAAAAGATTTCACACCCTTCCCTTCTAAACCAATTTGGCTTGGGCTGACCTTATGACCCCCTTAGAATGCTTACCCTGTCCTTATTCTGACCTTATCCTATTCTTTTCATTGATTTTGACCATAATCGTTATATTTTGGCTGGGTTCTTTTCAAATTTACCCTCACCCCTTCTAGTATCTGTTTTTCCAAGGATGTTTCCAAAGCTGAAGGATGTTTTTCCAAGGATGTCCACTTTCATCCTGGCTACATCAGTACATCATTCTGGTGTATATTGACAAATCCCACCATTTACATTTCATAGCTGTTAGCATCCAACCTGCTGGCATGTACTTGCAATATTGGGGATGGTAAAACAATGCTGCAAATGATTGAACAGTAAACTAACTGCTTACATTTACCACAGCAAACTTTGAAGGCATATCAATGATCATTGGGTTAGGGTGCTAGTGCACATGCGCACATACAGCAGGCCCTTCCACATCTCGAGAACGGCTAGGCCATTGTGCTCAAATTTGATACAGTTGGGGACCAGTTAGTAGGATGACCTGCAAAAGTCAGTTTGGATCCAGTTTGCATGTGCTCGCATGCAAGGTGCCGCTTCCAGAGCTCTGGAACCGCTGGGCTGATTGCACCCAAAGTTGGCACACCTCCAGCGACCAGCTAGTACAGCGCCATGCAGAAGCCCTCTTGCCCTTCCACACATGAAGGGCTCACTTGCTCGCTCACTTGACCTTTGCCAAATTATCAACTTATCAGTTTAGGGGTAACAGATCAAGATGTCGATGATTGAGTCCTTTACAACATCATATAATAACAGTAATGAAAATAAAGACTTCAGCTTTAGCTGCCACACTTATACTCCTCACTAGAAAACAATACTGAAAACATACACCTACACAGTAACAACCTTAGTTCAGGATTGTGATCTACTATCTTGGTCTTGAAACAATGCCTGACGGCTGACAACAAACTTTGGCTTATTCAAAGAAGCTAATTAACAGATGGCCAGGCACAAAATGTGCCTTGAGGTACATTATTTGATAAAATAATTCTTAAAAAGTGTATCCTGATACTACATAACTACAAAACGGGATAATTCGTTCCAAATGGCCAGAAGGTACAAAATAATAACAAAGAACCTGCTTCGGCGAAAGCAACGCACTTTGGTTACGTTATAAGTGGAAGAGCTGAGCTTTGTTCGCTTGTAAAAAGGTATGAATAAGAAAACCAACATTTCTTGGTTAAATAAAGCACAAAATACATTCCTTCATTACCTTAGCTAAAAAATTGTTGATGATTTTCACCACCCACCCGTTTAGCCCCACCGCATTTAGCACCACTCGATCGCGGATCAAGGCCAAGCAAATGCGATCTGTTAAAACACTGCTCTTTTTCATTATACCGCACGAGTTCACCAATTACAATTCCCAGCAGTGCATAATGAAGCGAAATCACCTTTTTGATTTAGAGAAACTTTTTGGGGGTTTGCCCTCGCCCCTCCCTTCCCTGTATCCGACTATCTGTCTAGATCCTATCGACCTATCTCGATGACTTACCTACCAATCCAATAGCGTATCTACCTGCCTACCTACCTATGCTGCTCCAGCTCCTGTGACTCGTGTCACGTGTGACAAAGCTTAGGCGTTTTATGACAAATTTTCCAGAAGACGCGGGTTAATTAGATCAGCGGGCTAGCCCGCAAGCTATACCTACCCATACCTACTGACGAAATGGAGAACAATTTCGGGTAGGAGCCTACATACGCGTAGTATGTATGTAGGTATGTATGTATGTATGTATGTATGTATGTAGTATGTATGTATGTATACGCGCTGACCGACCGTCGACTACGGACCATTGAGGTTGATGGCTTTTTCACCTTTTCTAGGTATATTATCCGAAAAATGGCTTATTCGCTTTTGGTAAATACAAGCGAAAAGTAACGTGATTCTTTTTCTATGCCAGAGTAACGTCGTATTCGGTGATGACTGAGCGACAGAGAGAATCCCCCCCCCCCGCCGGCAATCACACGTTCACGCCAATCATGAGATATCTCGCCAGCTTTTCAGCCCCGCGTTAGCCTCCGACCGCCGACGTCCCAAAACAGGCATTTGAGGGCCGACGTCGGCTTCAGATGGGCCAAAGTATGGACCAAAGCCTACATCCGAGGGATCTGTCCTATGGATGCTATTGAGTGCCGCATGCCGCCACTGAGGGCCCAAGCCGACTTCAAGCAGCCCATACCGGTCTCTGATGGTCCATTCGTCTCAAAGGACCCATCCAGCCTTTGAGGTTGTCACTCGGATTATATATTAGGGGCTCAGCTCAGTTCAAGGTGTAAGACATTTCCGGTCCGATTAGCGACTCTTTCCAGGCCGGCTGGCGACTCACGAGACCTGTGAAAGGGTGGGGGTGGGAGCAATGAGCACTCTCGATTAGTCTCTCGAATAATTAGGTAAGTGAAGAATTGCCCGTCACGGTCAAAATCAGTTTGTTACAGTTCAAAGTTACAGCATGACTGCATATTATTATCCCTGATATGATTGTCGCATGCGGAATTTTATGTCATATCCCGTGAGCGACTCCTCACCCATCGTGCGTGGCCGTCGGCGGGCCTCGGCCGCCGACGGTCCTCCCGACGCAGTCCCGAGAGGAGTGCGGGGCAGTGCGGGGCGCGCGGGCGGCCGGGACGGCGGCGGCGCCCGGTGTCTGCCGGTGACTGACGGCCGGCAGCTCCGCTGTGTGGGCACTGTGTGTGGTGGCCGACTGCCAGCACCCTGCCGCCGTTCCAGCCACCGGTGCCGAGCCGCTCCAGTGCAGACCGACTGGACGACACGGCCTGGCGCCCGCCGCCATGACGCCCGATCAGCTGGAGGAACTCGTCGAGGACATCTACGGTAAGGCGCCGCCGGGGAGGGCCGCGGGGCGGTGACGGGTGATGGAGGGCTGGTTGTGACACTGACGTCCAGCCACTGACGTTATGGAAGGTCGGATTATCGTCATCGCCAGCAGGTGACACGGGATACGGACTGTCACAATGTATTTGACATGTAACCGAGTGATACGAGACCCTGTATTATAACTCGTATTCAAATGTGTACATTATGTTTTCGATTTTCATCGACGTCTGAAGGAACGGTCACCATCAATAATTAAGATCCTATCAATACCAGAAAGTCTCCGAATTATCTTCTAAGCGCCAAGCGGTACGGCTTTTCGGCAGCCAGCTTTGCGCTCTGGCACATGAAGCCCTCTCCTAAACCTTCTATCGGGGAGCACGAAAGTGACGTGCCGAATCGATTCCCATGATTCCTTGTCGTTAAAAAAGTTGTACGGTGTAATGCTTGCTAAATGTTGCATTCCTCCTTCAATTTAGATATTATTCTGATGTCCATGATGCACGATTTGACGCAGCGAGAGCTTATGTGCAAGGATCGGTTTCCGATCCGCGGGCGACCGCACCTTCCGGTCGCGCTGTCGCTTCCTTTTAACTCCCCCCAGCCATCGCTATACCTACCGTCTACCACGGACGTCCGTCCGTCCTCCGTCCCGAGCGGAACCGGGTCCGCTGGAGACGGAACGTTTTTCCCGAACTGGAGCCAGAGCCGCCGGGACATTGTAGGTACTCGGGGCTGGAGCCGGACTACTCACAGGAGAGAAACGTCGAGTGGAGCCGTCCAGGTCCAAAGGTCGCTATCACGGCCCCCACCCGTGATACGGAGTGTTGAAAGTATGGACTTAAAAGGTCTTTTACATTAAACTTGAGTTATTATCGTCAGTCTACGTGTGGAGTTGAGTTAGATGGCGAGTATTGAAATGCTAGAGGGAAGCAGATGTCGATAGTGAAAGAGGAGAACAGCTATTTATTTATACCTCCGATCTGTTTTGATGGTCTCCCGATAGTTAATGGTCAACAAATGTCATCAGTTTATCATCTGGATGGGTCGCCAGCGATGCCAACTGATAAAACGGTTGAGGTGGGCGAAACCTAGTGATATTATTGACGTCCACGGTACACGGAATATTTTCCTTTTCCGTTGCGCTACTCCATAACATTATTATTTTATTTATTTACTTGTTCTGCCTATACAAACTGCAGTTTTAAAGGCAGCAGCTAATCGTCGAGTACTTATTTTAATAATGCAGGAGTGACTCATCTTTGATAAGCCGGTAACGTACAATACGTGACACGAAATCCCATTATGCATATTTTACTCAGAATCTGTCATCCGTTCGGTGCGTTGGGCGTTCACTTAAAACCGCATGTGGTAATGTATGTATATTGCATGAAACACAGAGGTTATAGAAATATGCATGGTGATGGACACACAACATGAGACATGCCTACATGAGTGATGAGATCGATGGAAAGTGCTCATCGAAGACTTTTAGCGTCCTTAACGCCTAGCCGCAAGTGTCAAACTTCACGAAACTTTATCGAAATGAATGGTCTTCCGTCTCCATCTTCTGCTATTCCGCATAGATGCAAAACGATTTAATGTAGGTATCTAACTTATCACGCTATACCGTTTACAACACTATCAGTAATACCTATACATAGGTGACCCCAAGGGTTTCGTCATATTACCTATCTCTTGCAATAACACGTGTAAAAATAATGTGCATGTGTTCAACATTGCCGTTTCTCCATGTTCACATATAGGTGCCCCAATCCCTCATGCAGCAGCGCCGCTGCCACGATCCGTGAGATGGGATTAATATGATTACGCATTAGTATAAGCCAAAGAAGTCGGAATCAGCTCCATTGCTTGATGTACTCGTAACGTTATCCTTCAGCTCGAATCGCCACTGTTGCGCAATAACTTTTTCCGCGCCCATCACACAAATACCCGAGATATTGCTATCTTGACTTCGCAGCACATAAAATCCGCACCATCGGCCTTATTCTGGCTGCTGCCCGTTGGTTTCTGCTGGTTCGGTGGTCGCCTGTCCGTCTCCCTGTGGCGGTGCGGGCTGTGCTTTCGTCTCCTGTGGCGGTGTGGGCTCTGTCTCCGTCTCCTGTTGTGCCGGTGCGGACTCGGTCTGCGGCGCCGTGGCTGACCCCTGGCGCAGCTGAGTCACGGAGTTACCCTGCAGCCCCACGCCGACCAGCTCCTCGCTTATCTCCCACAGCCGCGCCGCATCCTCATCGTTACGCGCGCGCGCAGACGGCTGCTTCTCCTTGCAGTCGGAGTAGTAGCGACCGCTCAGAGTGGCCAGCTCGGGTGCCAGCGCGCAGTAGAGGGTCGTCTGAGCGCCCTGCTCGGGCGTCTTGAACATGGGCTGCAGCAGCCGGTCGAAGCAGCCCTGGTGGCGCCACAGGTCTGTGCGGACGATGCCCGGGTGAACGGCGTACGTGGTCACTCGGGTGCCCAGCAGGCGCCGCGCCAGCTCGCGCGTGAAGAGCACGTTGGCCAGCTTGCTCTGGTAGTAGGCCTTCCAATCGCCATACCCGCGCTTCAGCATTAGGTCGTCGAAGTGCATCTTGCCACGCGTGTGCGCCTGTGATGAGAGGTTGACGATGCGTGACGGCGCCGAGCTCACCAGACGCTCCAGCAGGAGCAGTGTCAACAGAAAGTGGCCCAGGTGGTTGACGCCCAGCTGCATCTCAAAGCCTTCCTTCGTCTCGGCTCGAGGGCACGCCATCACACCGGCGTTGTTGATGAGCAGGTTGATCTTATCGGCCTGCGCAAGCACCTCTTGCGCGAAGTCTCGCACCGACTGCAGCGAGGCCAGGTCCAGCTGAAGGACGATCAGCGCTCCGGCGGCCTCCTGCTCGCCGGCCGTCGACTCGACGATCTCGGAGCGCGCCTCCTCGCCGCGCTCGACGCTGCGCACGCCGATGATGACCCTGGCACCGCGCCGGTACAGGTGGCGAGCCGTCTCCTTCCCGACGCCCGTGTTGGCGCCCGTGATGACGGCCGTGGTTCCTTCCAGGCGCGCCTCAGACGGGTACACCGCATGACGAGGCATGGTGCCTTGTTACCTAACTCACACGAAGAGACAATGCGAATCTTCACACCTCAGGTGTCCTAATACCACGAGCGGATCACCAGGTCGCACCAGAGACACGGCTCCGATCACTGCCGGCCGTCGAGTGGCAGACAAAAGTAGCCGGATCGGCACGCGGCCCTTGGGTCACCCGGTCGATAGCGTTCCCAGCACACTGCACCCCGAGCACGCCGAGCGGTCGTGGTGACCCGCCGCGGGCGCTATTTATCAATGCATGGCCCGCAGTCTGCGCCGCCGCTGACCAATCAGCGATCGGCGCGGTCATGGTGACGTCAGAGCCAGTGCACGAGCACCGGGTCAGCGCCCGTCCAGTCCAACATACCGCTCGAGCGGTACCAGTTTCCCAATCAATATTCCATGTCGTCACGGGAATAACAAGGCTCCTCCGGTCCAGTTGGTCCTTCCCCTGGTATGTGTTAGGTTGAGATGGGAAACACGCTTCATATGTTGCGCAATGAGTTCGTAATCTTACCGCAATGCATTGACGTACTGGATGAATTGCATTGTTCCTGCTAATCGCGACTCGTGAACTAAGACCATTATGAATCCGACAAAGGCAAAATAAAGCACGCAAAACACTCCTAAGCGTTAAGAAGGCGTTGCTATGTGCAGTTAGTTTCGGAGGTTTGCTGGAATTGATGAATTTAAGTGTTTTCGTGACATATTGCAGTTGCAGTTACGAGACCCGTTCTATCAGTCTGCTAAATGAATTTAGCTACATTCTAATTGAATTATTTAAATACCGACTGCATGCAATAAAGGTACAGGCAGTAAAAACTGGTAATGTCATTTAAGTGGAAAATCAGGCATAATACATAGAGTCCCATTAACGTCCAGGGCTAATCATAATGCGTCGAAGCAGTTCATTAGCCATGCTATTACTCAAACCTCGAATACAACAAAGAATCCTCTGTCTTTCCATAAGTAAAACTGACTGAAGTCCATGGCAAGGAACAAAGAACAAATTATGCTACTGATAGCCAGTGTCCCACTGGGAAGTGGGATCTCCAGTGAACAAGCCCAGTGTCACGCCGGGATGGTAATATCCCTGCCATAATGCCTATCACCTGAACGAAGGTAAGAAAGACGGGAGGTACGAAAGACGGTAAGAATTTCCTGAGCGAAGGAAGGCAGCAAATGGTGATCGAAGGCTCCATAAGACCGTTGCTAGTAAAATTGTAAAATCACGCAATGGCCGATAACGCCCGGCGCCGCTCGGGCACAGGTGGTGGGCTGCGCAGCGAGTAATGCGGTACAGCATACATTTCAGGCGAAACTGCCACTGCCATCTAGCGGCCGATTCTACGCACACACACTGCTTTATCCCGGGGTAAAGCGGTTTCGTGGGCTAACGCCGGACGTTTCGTGAAACATGGCGAGTCGTCGACTGCCGATTGGTTTCGTTATTCGTGCTGAGGTCTGAGGTCCGAGTCGGGATAAATGAAGATAACGGAATCTAACTGCATTCGGATATCAAGTCACGTAAGCAATCATTACCGATCATTTTTGGACTTGTCAGACGGTCAAGCATAAGATAGCAAGGACCGATGCAGCATAGCGCGTATCTAATGATATACCATAATGCATATTACATAGGCGGAAAGGCGGTCTCGGACGCTACGCGGGGAGCGGGACATATCCGAGGTCTGAAGGCTGGAAAGTCGGCGCCGAACCATTTTACTGCATCTCAAAGTGTATTTTACTGTAAATAAAGTGTGAGGGGAAAAAAGTATCCCAAAAAGTAGGTAGGTAGGTACTTCAAAAAAATCGTCGTATTTGCGATTCCTTACGCTTCACTGAGCAATTCAACGCAAACTTTTCCTTGAAAAAGTTGCTAAGTTTTCATTCTCATCGGGGAAAATGACAAAATTTCATCGCTTTCGGGCGCTGTGAGCGCACCTGCCAATGGCACATTACACATTGCACAACTTCACAGAAGCCACACTTCGGTTAGATCTAGTTTTTGCGTCGCTGCATTGCTGAGATCACGTGCTGGGTAGGTCTCGGTTCCAGTGAGGACGGCAGGCGGCTGGCGGCCCGGCACATTGCCACGTGGGCAAACAATCGTCTCGTAAGTCGTAACAGTCGTCTGGGGAACAGGTGGGCGCGGGCCTCGTCGGCTGCGCCAGGCGGCGTGAGGCTCGTCAAGTGGGGGGGGGGGGGGGGGGGGAGGGGAGCCAGCCGGCTATCAAATGTCACCGTTTTACCTACCGGACGGTATCAAATTGTATCTAGTTATATAGTCAGGGATGGGTAACCGGCTACCGTGCCGCTAATTGCCGACATACATAGACAGCGCTGGCTGGAGTGGCACCTGTTGCCGTCTGATGTCACACCGCCGCTCGTCAGCGTCCCATCCATCGCGGACGGAGACAGCGGCGGGCGGCACTTCACAGACGACCGCCATGACGTCCCAGGCCGGTCCCGGGTGACGTCACGGGGGCGCTAACTGCCCGGGGCGGCACCGGCGTGTCACGGTCCGCTGATGAGGCGGGCCCGGCCGACAGAACAGACTGCACACCTGACCGAGTGCATCGGTCGGGACTCGGGGCGGCAGTGTTTTTATTTTTAAGCAGGAGCTGAGTGATAGGGGAGGGCCAAAATGAATTCCGCCACGGTAATCTAAATATCACAGACGCTGTTCTACGCTCCCGGGTCGTTTCTCTGTCAGCTTTGACACACCGATGCTCAAATATAATTTAAAATTGAATCTTGAGCGCATCGTTATTCGGTCAGGGAAATACCTACTTAGGCCAACCTGTCTAACCTATGATTCCAAGCTGATATGAGGGCTATTGTAGGCTCACGTGAAGAAATTAGAAGTCAGTATGAGCTTAAAAAAATCATTAGTATTTTCATTAGAAGTAGTTATTATTATCCTACGTGTCATCGTCATAAGTATTGAGCAATAAGCATTGCTGATAGGCATCGGCATGGGCGTTATTTAGCGTAAATTTACCAGATTATTTAGGGAAATATAGCAGACGTTTTTGTTCGGATGCATCGGAAGTTCTTGCTAGGCAAAAAAAAAGAAAGTAACAACATAAAAACAAATCATTGGCTGTGTTTAGGCGAGGCTAGTTACAGGTAGGTAGGCAGTCGGCAGTGGCACGGTGCACGAAGGTGGAATATGACCATTAGGTAGGCACTAAATATTCCTGCAGCTGGCTATCACATCAAACAAACTCGTAGTTCAACGATAAATACTCCATCTAACTTCTAAGCCGTTATTTTGTCATTCATTCTATGCTCTAGATTTTAGCTGGATCTTAGGTATGCCTGTGAAGCAAGAATAAAACAACTATTATTGTGTTGTAAAATACGTGTATATGGTAACATGTTTCTACTTCTATCTTCGAAGAAATATCTTATCTGAAAGACAGACTAGAGTTGGATAGCCAGAGTCTCCATCTTCGTGTCGTGCGCCAGATCAGGACCTGAGAGCCGTTAGCGCCGCAGTCCGCGACGTGCGCCGGCTGACACATGCCGCGAATACCCACTACTCTGTAGTCAGCGGGCGCACTTTTTGCCGCCGACCGGATTTAGCCAGTCCCGTTTTTGTTGCGGACGTTACCGAGCTAAGCGCTGCGCAAAACGCCGCCGCTTGGAAGATCAGATGATCCGATGATCCGACGCAAGTGGCACAGAAGCCAAGATTCAAGAAACAACTCGAGAGTTGAATCAGCAATCTATGACAGCTCGGTAACAATAAAAACTCCTTTTATCTTAGTTGACTATGCCCATTGAAATTAAATTCCTTTAACCCGGCCGGGCCCAGGGGTAATCCCAACCACCGCATCCGGGGGGGGGGGCGTTTTTCGCCCCCTGTCTAACTCCATAGATAAGAGAGCTGCGGAAACAAAAGCGGCACCAAACGAAAAGTCTTAACGAGACGATTCTAAAACACCCAAATTTTTAAAAATCAGGTCAATTTTTAAGGTCAGAGGTCAAGGTCAAAGGCAAAAACCGGCATATGTGTAGTTATATCAAAGTAAGTGTTTCAGAAGACGGCAGGACGCACAAAAAGGCAAAAAGGGTGTAAAACGAAAGACGAGAATCTGAGGATTCCGATGGTGTGCCGAACATTCAAAGTCAAGGCCAAGGTCACGCTCAGAATTGACCTCAAACTTTTCACTTTTTCGCATATCTGGTATACTAAATCCCATGTGATATTTATTCACATTCGATGACAACACAAAAGCAAATATTCTAAATAGCCAGACGTTTCGGCCTCAGGGTGCCTTCGTCAGTGACAATATCGAGATACTAATACATTAATAAATTAATTAATCAATATCTTTTACACTTTCAAAGTACACATGACCTGATACGATACTAAATCCCATGATAATTTGAAGTGTTTTGAAGCTTGTCAGGCTCCTGTTTGTGGTTACAACCTTATGTGTCAAGGTCAACCAAAGGTCATTCGAGGTCACATGAGGTCAGCATAAGAGTTGACCTTTTCCAAACAAAGTATGCATCATTCGACGCGGCTGCGATGGTACCACTGTCGTAGCTCTAGGACCATTTTTGGAGAAGTTATTCGCGAAAAAATTAAAACCCCAGCTTGGGGGTGGTTGACCTGACCTCTGACCTCAGGTCACCAAAACCATTTTTGTATTTTTTCCTAGGTCAAACGATACACAACCGTGCTCGTAATTTGTATTTATCTCTAAAACTCTGTTTTTGGCAGCTGCTTGAAGTTCACGTCTCTGGGCTGGCGCCGAAGTTTACTGTGCACTGTGCAGGGGTCTAGAAAAATCGACCCTGTGATGTCATCAAGGGTGCTACAATATTAGTCCAGAAGATGTCAACTTGATGGGGAAAAGGTACTGAAAGTTTTGCTTTCTAATCCTAAGCGTTCGGGAGCTATCGCCAATATTCGCCAGGGAAGCGAAAAACGCCCCCCCCCCCCCCCCATCGGGTCCCAACCACCAAAATAGGTTGTGTTGTGTCCCATAAAAAATAGCAAAAATTAAATATGTCTACCCAAAATCCGACAATGCAAGACTGAGTAGGAAATGCAAGGAAATCGCATGAAGAGCTTACACAACTTTACAACGTTAACCGGTTAACCCGGCACCCGCGCACTGGGGTCTGCGTACCTATAACGCGCCCTACTGGGGGGGGGGGGGGGCTATTCATAGCCCCCTCCTAACTCCGAAACTACTGGGCCGATCGTCAAAATTCGAACGGCGTCTGATAACCCCGGAAAAACTCTGATTGAAACCTGATTGCATTGACCTCGAGGTCACCGATGACGTCACAGGTCATGTCAAAGTAAAAATTATAGATGTTTGGCTTGTTCACATTTTGGGCTCTGGCCGCCGTCTTAGTTGTTACAAGTCAGATCAGGCTCATTTTTGGTTTACACAATCGTGAACAGATGGTTTAGATACCCTGAGTGAGGCTACCAAACTTGTGCTCTGATTTTCAGGTCAGGGTCAGGTCATCAAGGTCACGGAAATATTATGTCATGCATGGGTCAAGTGACGCATGATTTATGGTCCATTTAGGCCACAAATTTCGAATTTGATGTCGTTTAAGTCATTTGAGGTCATTTTGAGTTGAATTTAGAGGTCAAAAAAGATCAAATTGAAAAATTCAAAAAAAAATCTAACTAAAAAAGGTGTCTATCGAATGCAGTTTGAGCTCAGGAACACGATGGTCCTATTTATAACGGTGTACGTCAAATACGTACTGAAAAAATGATTTGTAAAGTTTAATTTGAAACTAATTTAATTTACCTATTAATAATAAAAACTAATTAATTAA